AGTGGCAGGGGGCTTCTTCCTGCTTTCCCTTTCGCCTCCCTGCATTGTGCCTACATATGCAAATTAACCGCCATCTTTGTTGTCAGTTAACTGCCATCTTAGTTGGCAGTTAATTTGCATATAGCCCTGATTAGCCAATGAAAATGGTAGTGTCCTACGCCAATGACCATTTTTCTCTTTTATTAGTGTAGAAGATTAAGAACTTACAGCATCTGCTTTACAAATGGTGTTGGCTACATGTCGACACAGCATCTTGAGCCAGTTCTCTTTTGGAAGTTCCTCTGATGTCATCTGGAAACTGAGCAGCACATTTGCCTGCTCTGTTGGTGGCCTCACGAGCAAGGCAAAAGCATTATGGCAATCTAGGGTCCAGGAATTATAAACAATGTTATTCTTGGAAAATGATAGATCTATTCAAGTTAAGTTACCTCAGATCAATGACATTCCAATGATCTTTTCTCCACCCTTCCCACCCCCTCTATTTCTAATTGGACAAAGAGTATCACCGTTTTACATTGAAACATTAGAAAGAACTTTAACAGTAAGTACCATATGAAGAACCAACAATAAGTTGACATTACATAAACAGTATTTTCCATGACATTTAATATTTTATGTGCTGGAGTTTTAAACAATTAGAATGTATCATTACTTAGTATCCTAGAATTTGAGTTTTAAAATGAAATGGCATTGTAAGAATAATTTAAAAACTCAACCTATTTAAATCAAGTTTAAAGAAACATAATTTTTAAATATTAAAATTGCTACAAAATGTTTTGTGACCAAGATGCAGAACCTATTTTAAACAATGAAGTCTTCCACAATTATAATCCAAAGATATGGAAATGATTTAAAACAAATGTACCACATAACCCATAATTCAAATTCAATAATAGAATAAAGATAGCAATGCAAGTTACTATTCAAATTTTCTTTAATTGTTACTTAGGGTGCACTAACTCATGCACATCATTCCTTTCATCATGAGAGGATGGGATCAGTAATGGTACCAGCTTACATTGTAAAAACTATGCCTAACACCCAAAATATGACCAATAAAGACATATCACTAGTGCTAGTTAAACAGATGATACTATTTTGAGAAGGTATAAACTTTTGGCAATTTCAGGCATTCAGAGAAACCTCCCTAACACTATCAAAGTTGAGGGAGAAAGCTTCCCTTAATACACATTTAACTCCATGCCAAGACTATCATAGTTGCCAAAACCGGTTTGGCTCAGTGGATAGAGCGTTGGCCTGCGGACTGAAAGGTCCCAGGTTCGATTCCGGTCAAGGGCATGTACCTGGGTTGCGGGCACTTCCCCAGTGGGAGATGTGCAGGAGGCAGCTGATCGATGTTTCTCTCTCATCGATGTTTCTAACTCTCTATCTCTCTTCCTTCCTCTCTGTAAAAAATCAATAAAATATATTTAAAAAAGAAAAAAAAAAAGACTGCCATAGTTACTTAGGGTGCACTTACTCATGCACATCATTCCTGGTCATCTCCTAACTGTATCCTTAACAATGCAGCTAGTGGCAACAAGGAAAGTATAAGATGCAGAGCACAGGTGATTTATTTTGGATTCTGAAGAAATAAAATGTTTTGGTGTGGGAACAGGCTGGGTTAGGGTACATAGCACTTTCATGTGAAAAAAAATAAGGAAGTGAAATAAATCTGCAGTAGTGAGTATGAACTATTTTTATTTAGCAATAGTTTATCCAATAAGCATACCTTCTGTCTCTCTTATGTCCAGCACTTTCTTAATTTGAGAAAGAGGCATTAGATGAATATGCTTAAGAGAAGCTGGGGGTCGGGTCTGGCCATGAGGACTCCTAAAAGTGCCAATAACTTTGTGGCGTTTCCTTGCTATCTGATTATAGAAAAACAAAAGTCATTTTAAGTAATATGAATAAAAACAAAGACAAAATACTTAAAAATAAAATGCACTAATCACATAAATCTATATGCAGCTCATCTATTAGTCATTCCAGAATTATTATGGGATAAGAAGCTATGTAAAAAAAATCATACATGTACTTGTGTAACAGGTATGCTCATGTTTATATGATAAGAGTTCAAAGGTCAGGAAACCAGGCCAAGGGACAGGATCTACGCAAAAAATCCTTGAGGTGTGAAAAAACTTAGAAGCATCGTGAAAACTAATAGGATCAGCGAATTGAGGAATTTTCTTGAGTTCAGGAAGGAAAATAGTTACTCTGGGACCTCTATATTGGGCACAAAAGATAACTGATATCAGTTTAAGAGCAGAATTCACAATTATCTCAGATCCTGAGAATAAAGGAGTAAATAACAGAAATGGTTCTCACTCTCATTATTTTCACTAGAGGCCTGGTGCACAAAAATTTGTGCACTCGGGGGCGGGGGGGGGGGGCACCTCTCAATTGTAACACTGTTGCCATCACTGCCACTCTAAGCTCTGAGGCCAAAGCTGGCTGAGAGCAGGTATCTGGAGCTTGTTTAGCTTCTATAATTGCAACATTGTTTCTTAGAGTGCAGCTCAGAGCCCAGCAGCAGCAGGCAGGGAACCTTGGCTTCCTCCATCACTGGAGCAACCAAGCCTCCTGTTCGCTTCAGCTGCCTGGCTGCTGGCCGCCATCTTGGTTGGCAGTTAATTTGCATATCACCCTGATTAGCCCATGGGAAGCGTGTCGGAGGTACGGTTAATTACCATGTTTGTCTATTATTAGATAGGATAACATCGAGAAAGGGGACAGTTAAAAGGTAACTAAACAATAAAGTAAACAAATGGTACAAATTATAAACTCAAAGTGCTATGTTAAGATATAACTTTACCTAAACTGGGGATTCCTGCAAAAGTAAGAGATAAACAAAATAACACTGGAAAAACCAGGGGCAAAATCACAAAGCACCCTGTGATTCACGATGTATTTGAGTTCTGTGAATTTTATAAGGTCTTTAAATTTATTGTTTTCATTTCCACAAAAGCTTGGTATGTTATTTAGCTGTTTTAAAAGAACATCTCCTGTGAGGTAATAATCATCAACTGAAAGACATCCACACAAAATGTCTTAGATTAGGTTACTTAATGAATTGAGATTAACCGGTCACCATCATGAATATGACAAAGTATAGCTGAAAAGTATATCTACTTAAGTGTTGGCTAATTAGAAAAGATCAAAAGGCAGTCAGTACATATTCATATTGAAGCAAAACTATGACTCAGATCTATATTAAATATTAAAAGTTAATTTACATTAATGTAGTGATAATAAGCACTAAAAACTTAAATATTTTCACTAATATTTAAATATACATTAAATTAACTTGGTTAAGCAGAATAAATACAATTTTAAGATTTTTTAAAGCTTCATATCAAATGAGTTGTTGATAGGGAATGTCAAACCACAATCTTGGCATATTGGGAGAATTTAACCACAGAGCTATTTGGCCAGGACTGTTTGGTTTTTTTCAGACAAACAAGCTAAAGAATGAGAGTTTAGGATTATAAATCTTTAAGTCCAAATTTAATGTTAGAAATAGTATTGTTTCAATTACTATGATTCTGAGACAGGAAAACTAAGAGAGAGTAGAACAAAAAGTCACTGGTGAATGAAATGAGAGGCCAGGGTATTACATAACTGACTGGAAGCTACAGGGAATGACAAATGGCAAGAATTAAAGTGGAAGGTGAGTCAATGAGCCAGTTATAGAATACTTCAAGGAATTTGAAGGGGATGTAAGATTAAAAAAATTAAAGTTAACTACAACTCTCTTGGGATTAAAGGATTAAAACCCAGAATGGATTAGCTGGGAAGTAAAGATAACCTAACCAATTAGATGAATGGAGCCAATAGACCAAGGACTTCAACAGGAAAATCCTAAAAAAACCTTAATAGTACCTAACAGAGAAGAACTGAGCAACTATGGACAGACAGTAAAACTCCATGATAATGCTTACTCAGGTAAAATATGATTTATCTGCCTCATGAATTTTTATTATAACTTTCTCAGTTCTGGGTATGGTCAATTATGTATAGTATTTTCAGTGTTGTTACTTTGTATTTTCTAACATTCCTGAAAAAATGAAAATATTATTTTTCACTAATCTCACAACAACAAAACTCTGCGTTTAACACAGTGAACTTTTGGTGACTGGGTATGACTTATTCTCTAAGAGTCCCGTGTTTTATAATAATATACATGAAACAAGAGCACAACTCTAGAAGACATGTAGAAAAGGAAAAAAGAAAGAGGTATAGATTTCTTCTTCTTTTTTTTTGTTTTTTTTTTAAGGAAACCCATCAAATTACTTTCATGAAAGCAACAGGTAGATACCAAATAACAGAAATGTCAAATTAGTCTTCTGGTGAATCTGGTGAATTAATATCTATTTTATCAAAATGAATAGCTTTATCTCCTGAGATGAAGGAAAATACACTCCTTTATGTTCCACATTAGGCTATTTTAATGTTTGAAAGTACACTATTAACAGAATGAAAGAAAAGAGTTGAAAAAGCAGCCCTAGCTGTTTTGGCTCATTGGCTAGAGTGTCAGCCTGCAGACTGAAGGGTCCTGGGTTCAATTCCAGTCAAGGGCACATGCTGGGGTTGTGGGCTCAACCCCCAGTAGGGGGCATGCAGGAGGCAGCTGGTCAATGATTCACTCTCATGATTGATGTTTCTATTTCTCTCTCCCTTCCTCTCTGAAATCAATAAAAATATGTTTAAAAAAAAAAAAAGGAAAAGCACAGAAATATAATTCAGTTTGTCTGTAGGAATAACATGGGAGGAAAAATTAAACTTAGATGAGAAAATTAAACTTTAGAATCAATGCACACCATCTGATATACTGATCACTCATTTAATCCTGATGACTTAAGGAGAATCAGGAAATCATAATTCATGATATTACACAATTTATCTCTTTTCAACAAAATACTGATTTCTTTACTTAAATTTCAAAGTAAAGTCATAGATATGTCATACATCTCTTATAAATATACATGGAAATAAGAAGTTCCTAAAATTCTTTTGACTTAAGCATTTATTTGCATGGAAATAAACTAAATTTTCATTATGACTTAAATTTGAAGTCATGAAAATTTATCATACTTCTTAATATTAGGTCTTCTTCTAAAAGCATTCCATTAATAGTATTAAATCAACAATTGGTCTCAATTAAAAAAGTGTGATTATTTAAGTTTAGCTACTTTAAACTTACCTATAATACTTTAATCAAAGCTTGGTTTTAAACATTCAAGGAAGTCATATAAATCAGCAGTATTATATTATATTAAGTACAACTTTACCTCCAGGCAGTCATTGAAGAGAAAGAGGGTTACTTGTTCTCCTCTGTCACAAGGGTGCTCACCTAGAGAAATTGTTTCAACTCGTTGGATTAAGCTTCGGTGAGAAGATAAAAGATTAGCCTGTGTAGATTAAATATATTAATAGATCATTTGGGAGCAAAGAATTTTTTTTAAGTTATAATTTAAAAGAAAGTGGTGCCAAGACTCTCTTTATATTAAAAATTGTAGAATCTAAAATAACAAGAAAGAGGAAAATAAATTTACAATTATCAAAGATGGATACTTACTGGGCATCCATCTACTTCATAAACAACATCAAAAATCTGCTTTTGCGCTTCGGTTTTTCTCTTATCCTCATTAATATGCCTGAAAAATTAATAAGGTTATTTTTAAAACTTTAAAAGCTGAGTGGAACTTAGTTGGTCCCTGGTTAAAAAAACAAAAACAATGACCCAACCAGAGTGGCTCAGTGGTTGTGCATCAACCTATGAACGAGGAGGTCACAGTTCAATTCCCAGTCAGGGAACATGCCCAAGGTTGCAGGCTAGAACCCCGTGTGGGGAGTGCAGAAGGCAGCCGATCAATGATTCTCTCTCATCATTAATGTTTCTATCTCTCTCTCCCTCTCCATTCCTCTCTGAAATCGATAAAAATATATATGTTTTTTAAAAAACTATTCAAAATAAGAAAATTCCAATTTTAAGAAAAGTAGACAAAAGATTTGAACACACATATCACAAAGAAGATAATTTGAACAGCAAATAAGCACATGAAAAAATGCTACCACCATTTGGTATTAGGAAAAAGCAAGTCGAACCTACAATAAGATATTTCACTACACATCTATTGGAATTTCACAAAATAAAATGACTACTCATACTGAGCGTTGGTAAAAACATAGAGCCACTGGTGTTCAACATATACCATTAATGGGAATGCAAAATAATACAACCACTTTGGATATAGTTGGGTGAATTTTTTAAAACTTTTATGACATAGCCATTCCTACTAGGTATTTTTTATCCAGAAGAAATGAAAGTATATGTCCATATAAAAATTTATTCACAGATGTTCATAGCAGCTTTGTTATAGACAGACACTGAAAACAATCAAAATATCCACCAACACATGAATTGATAAATGTGGTATACCCATTCAACAGAAAACAATAAAAGGGAATGAACTATTGATATAAGCAACAATAAGGACTAATCTAAAAATAATTATGCTGAGTAAAAAAAAGCCTGACAAAAATATAATATGCAATTTGATTCTAAGAAAATGCAAATTATACTTATAAAAAGAAGAGTAGTTGTTGCCTCAGGATGGGCCGGAGAGGGAGGAAAAGGGATTACTACCACAGACTATGAATAAACTTGGAGGTAGCGGAAATGTTCCTTAACTTGATAGTGGTGATGGTTTTATGGGAATATATATATACCAAAATTAAAAAAAACTTTATATTAAACATGTATAATTTGCTAAGAAAAACGTACTAAAACATAGATCTATAACAAATTAATGTTTATAAGATAAGTATGTGTAATTAATGGTGTTAGAATCCAATTTTAGGGGTTTTTTTTTTCTTTTGCTTAAATGGCAACGACTAGTTAATTGGTGCTGTCTCATTATTTCCTTTACCTTACAGATTATAGTTGTTTCAATCAACCACAATACTAGTAAGCATTTAATCCCTATGCTAAATGTTCAAGGATCATAAGAATTCAAGGGTGGTTAAATTCTATAAGGCTTACAAACCAGCATCACAACTCAACATTAAAATCGCAGCTTCCTTAGTTGAACATCTATTTAAAATCTACTATGAGCAAGCCATTTAGGGTAGTGATGTATTAGAAAGATTATTAAATTCTGACGAAGCTTAAATAAAATGTTGAAAAAGAAAGAAATCTTTAATCACCAGTCAATTTGGCTCATTATTCCCAAAGCAGCCCACTTGACACTAGTCCAAAGGAGGCAACAGGTCAAATGACAAGTCTACTCCCTAGTTAGGTTACTTTATAATCTTTGTTTACCAAATATATTATATATAAATAATAAATAGCATATGCTATCATCACTAAACAGGCAAATAGGCCAAGTAACAAGCTCTCAGCTTTTCTCTTTTGTGAAAATATGTTTTAACACTGACTGCCTACTTCAAAGAGTTGTTGAAAGAATCAAGGTAAGTAATGACAGAGTTTGTTAACCATGAAGTGCTTAAAAAAACTATTATCCTGGCTGATAAACATATAAAATATGAATGTAACCAAAAAACAAAACATGCCTAAAACTCCATAGCAATAGAAACTCTTAATTTGAGCATTATTTTACCGCTGGGCTCTCACGCTTACAGCTAGTAAAGTTCCTTGGTAAGCGTGCCTTTGCAAGTTTTTTTTTTTTTAAATATGATTGTTTCTTATTGTTGTTTTTATTTTATTTTTTTTAGAGAGACAGAGAGAGAAACATCAGCTGGTTCCTGCATACCCCCTACTGAGGATCAAGCCCACAACCCAGGCAAGTGCCTTGACTGGGAATCGAACCAGCAACCTCTCAACGCATGGGATGACACTTAACCAACTGAGCAATACTGGCCAGGGCATTTTCAAGTATTGTAAGAAGCTATTTCAGATTGAAGCACCTTATGAAATCTCAGAAATATTTTAATTGTATCTATGAAATATGATGATATGTAAAGTCCAAAGAGCTGAAGTGCCCTCACCCTTCATGAGTCAAAGCAATACCAACATAGTTTTCAGTTCTGATCGTAATAGTCAGGAAAGATCATTTCTGATCAGAACTATGTCTACAAGTTTAACAATCAAGGCCCAAGGCAATTTCATTGAGTTTACACTTTTCATACATCTACAGACAATCCCAATAATTTAATTCCTTAAAATTCAAGGTAAGAAGCCAAAAGCCAAATGTAAAATGAAAAAAGTATTATAAATCTTTTCTTTTTTATTTCACCATGTTACATTTGGGCAATTTATATGAATATGAATATGAACATGAATATGAATATGAAGACAAAAACAAGTTATGATTAGAGGTATATGAAGAAAATGGCTATTAGTAAATTATAACATTTTCAAATTTGTAAACCATTGTTACTCTCTGTACATAATAGTTTAATACCCTAAGAAATGTTTTTGATTAATTAATGTATTCTTATAATACTTTCTCATCATTTTAATGTGTAACTACACTGTTAGAAAAATAACAATAAATATTTTACAAATACTTGTTGATATTTTTCTCCATTTATGATTCTAATTGTTCTATCAATTCCATTCTAAATCCAAGGAACAATAAAAAAAAATTGAAATAATGCACTTACGTCATTACTTCCTTTAGTGATCCAATAGCTTTTTCTAGAGTGCTTTTGTCAGGATTTTCTTCAGCTGTATGTTTCTTAAGATCTGTAATAATAAAATGTTTTTTCCATGATTAACAAAAATTCAATGGTTTTCCATCTAAGACTTAATTAAAAACACCATCCATCTTAATAGACAGAGACTGATATTTTTAAAGACAATATCCAACCTTTCCTTTTATATATGTAGCATTCCCTTAAGAGCTCTCTTCCTACACATTTGTTAAGGTTCCCACATTTGTTTCTTATTTACTAAACTTGCAGAATAATATGTGACCCATTATTTCACAGCTATCTCAATTTCCTTCTAGTAAAGTTTGAGAACTGCTAGATTCCTTAAACTCCCTCCATGAATGAAAACACCTGGTCCTCAATAGGCTGAGAAATCATTATATAGCTGTATTTCACACTGGGGCCCATGAGTCCATCATAGAGAGCCTTTGGTGTCCTTAGAGCAGGTTTCGTTTAATTTCCAGGTTCATGAGACGCCTAAGCCTTGATTGTTCCTACCCAGGTTGCTCATAATGTTCCCTATGCTGTATTCACCTAATGATTTCCTAGTACCACACCCACTTAATCTTTTAAATGGATTGATAGAAGAAAATCTTAGAAATCATGTTCATTTTATTTATTTACTGTCTTACTTAACTTATTTACTTATTGAAATCAAGTTCATTTGATGGATTTCTATAAGTACGAATGAAACAATAATGAAGATGAGCAAAAAAAAATACACTGCTTTGCACATATATTTTCTTTATAATCTATAAAATAGGACAGCTTTTAAAGACTAGGAAATAATTTTATATGCTAGTAATTCTAAACTACGTTAGTTAAACGTAAAGAGAACAAAAATTAACAATTTTTTTTAGTTACTACTATAATTCATGTTAACCGAAATATTTTAAAGAAAAAAATAGATTAAATAGTCAAAAAATCAGCTTCCTTGTCAGCTACACATACCACTGTAGTTAAAGTTTGAGGATCAAAATGCTTTTTTACAGACTTATTCCTATTACTAATTTAGTTTTCATACTTAAATTTTTAAAATATAAAAAATGACACTTGGCCCAAACCAGTTTGGCTCAGTGGATAGAGCCTCGGCCTGTGGACTGAAGGGTCCCAGGTCCAATTCCGGTCAAGGGCACATGCCCAGGTTGCTGGCTACAG